AGAAAATAGAATTTCCCAACCTTCACAATAACATCATCCATTACTCCAATAGGATAGCGAATTGATCTATCCACCAATTGTAGTGCCACCGTGGTGGGTTGGAGTCCCCCCACACTTAGCTTCTTGAAGAGGGAATGTGGCATAAGATTTATGTTTGCTCCAAGGTCACACAAGCAACGTATTTCTCCAATCTTCCCAATGGAGCATGGCACCGTAAAGTTGCCCGGGTCACTAAGTTTTGGAGGTAGTTTATTTTGAATGATAGCACTACACTCCACCGTTAGTGCTACCGTGGCAAATTCACCTAGCTTCTTCTTGTTTGAGAGGACACCCTTAATAAATTTTGCATACGAGGGTATCTCCGCAATAGCCTCCGCAAAAGGAATATTGATGCTTAGTTTGGTGAACATCTCCATGAAGTTCTTGTATTTCTCCGGGTTCGCCTTTTTCTTCAAACGTTGAGGATAAGGAATTGCCGGAACATAAGCATCAGGATGCACCTCGGGGGGGGGGGGGGNNNNGCTGTTCTGGTGCTCCCTTCCGAGATAATCTCTTCTTTATTTGAAATGCTTCGAGGCCGCGCCTCGGGCTCCTTGAGTTTCTTTCCAATCCTAAGAGAAATAGCCATAGCATTCTCCCTTGGGTTTACCTCTGTGGTGCTCGGAAGTCGGCCTTGTTCTCTTTGAGACCTTCCCGTTGCTAATTGCCCCATTTGAACTTCCAAATTGTGTATGGAAGTCTTTGTGTATTGCTCTAGTGTATCCATCCTTTGATTAAGCTTCATGTCAAGTTTTGTGAAATGACAATGAAGATTGCTTATGGCGGTCTCTGTGCTAGCTTGATTTTGCTCAATTGTTGATTGAAATTTGGCAATTTGTTTGGTGAGCAACTTGATGGGATCCTCGGAAGATGATGATGGTTCCTCCTTCCTCGGCTCATAGCTTCTTGAGAATCCGGGGGGCAAAATTGGAGCATTGTTACTTCCTCCTTGAGCATTCCAATTTGAGTTACCCCAAAGTTGATTTTGAGAATAATTGTTGCGTTGGGGCTTCCTCTAGGAACCCATGTAGTTCACATCTTCAATCTCGGTGGTATGACCATCAAGAGTGCCTACTTGGTTGACTTGGCTTGGGCCTTGGTTTCCCAATACCGCTCGGAGTGCACTTTGCAGTTCACTTTGCATTGTAGACTTCAACTCCGTCATCCTCCGGTCAAACATATTGTTGAGAGCAACCTCATTGATTGAGGCTATATTGTCACTAGTTCGGAGTTGAGGATTTGAAGCGATAGACTCAATGGTTTCCCAAAGTTCTTCCTCCGTTCGATTTCCCATGTAGCCATCACAATGGTTGTCGATGATGGCTTGGAATTGAGGACTTATTCCTTGATAAAAGAAATCCACTTGAAGGTCAAGTGGAATCCGGTGGTGCGGGCAACTTCGAAGCAAGGCTTTGTATCTCCTCCATGCTTCTTGAAATGTCTCTCCGGGTACGTTTGAGCCGGAATGAGTAGATTTGCTTTCGGAGGTCTTGAGTCATATCTGGAGTGTAGAACTTGAAGGTGAAAGCGTCATACATAGCATTCCACGTGGCATAGGCTCGTGGTGTTTGCTCAAGAAACCACGCTTTAGCGTTCCCTCGCAAAGTGTATGCGAAGAAATGCATCTTGAGATCATCGTCCGATAGGCCATGTCTCGAAATGCCTTGGAGAAATGCGTAGAACTCCGTGATGAAGGAAAGTGGATTCTCACCGGAGTTCCCATGGAATTGAGGGAGCCCGTTGATATATCCATTCTTCACTTCATAATCTCTAGCCGCATTTGAGAGCACGATGCAAGAAGGGGTGTCGGGAACCATCGGTCTCTTTCTTTGATTAAGAGTGAGAGCGGGTGGGGGACGCTCTTCTCGTATTTGATTGTCATTTTGTCGCTCAACTTCGCAGTTGTCACCGTCCATTCTTTGGATTTTTCTAATGGTACGAACAGTTCTCTCCATCTCCGGGTCAAATGTGCCAAGATTGTGAGAACCTTGACTTCTCAGTCGCATAAAACTCGGAGATTCCTACACGAAATAAAAGAGAAAATGCAGTGGTTAAGAAGAAAAATGCAGGATTTTTGACGAAATAAAACACAATAAATTGGACCAAGTCCCCGGCAACGGCGCCAAAAACTTGATCGGAGGTATTTTGTAAGTATACAAAAGCCTGATGTAGTAATAAAACCGGTAAGACCGGGTCGATTTTGTAACGCCACAAAATATGGCCTAAAATTTATTATAAAACAAAAGTAATTTTTGTTATCATTTTGACCAATAAAGAATATTTATACGTTTGACCAAAAATAAAAGGATTTTCAAAATAATGACTTTTTGTTAAAAACTTATTTTTATGGATATGTATCGAAGAGACGAATCAAACGGTACATTTTATGAATCCATCTGATTTATAAATTTCAAACTATGACGATTTTTTAAATATTAAAATTTGTAACTTTGACCCATAAAAATAAACTCAATTCAAAAGTGATTTCATAAAATTAGAAATCTTAATTTTTGACACTTGATAACATCATATTAATCATTTGGCTTTAATTCGTATATTTTTATCTCATTCATATTATTAAATTAATTTATAACGGAGACAGACCTGAACACTGAGAAAAATAAAAGTTCTTAGAAAAATATTTTGATTACGTCAAAGTTCTAGTTTTGATAGTCTAATTCTAAAATTACAATCCGTTTTCAATTCGGAGCAGTTTGGGCGAAAAAGTGCGTACCGTTTGGAAAAAACTGTTTAGTTTTGGCAAAAAGCCAAAACTTAAATTATCAAATCTCTTCCAAATCACGGACCAGCCCATCCTAGCTCCACTTTTGCTCCACTAGCCACCTAAAGTCTCTCCCTACATAATACTTCCAAAGTATTATGTTATAATACTCCACCACCACAATTATCTTCATTATCATCATGTTCCACCATCATCACCATCATCTCATCTCTCCTCTCTCCATTCTCTCACTATCGGAAACTTCAAGGAGAGAAGAAAACACCCTCCTCCATAGATGGTTCAAGGAAGAAGAAGAAACAAGAAGAAACCATCCATAGTTTCCAAATCATGAGTTCCAAACGCAGCATCAACTTCTACGTAAGTTCTGTAATTTTCCATCCATTATCTCGAACTACCTTTTGAACCAAATTGGAGCCCCGGACAATACGAATCCAACCCAACAAACGGCTCGCGATTTCGTTAAGTAACGAAGAAGATATGGCCAAAATACCGGGACTGCGCCAGTGGTGGCGAGCTCCTCGGGTTGGACCACCTTCTTCACCAAATTCATATTGTTTCATTCCAAGAACTCACCATAAACTCTCTAACAATTATTAGGAACATCCGGAAGGTTTCGTAGAGAAGGTTCGGTGTTGGAATATTGAAGTTAATTGGTTAATCGTCGGAACCGTTGTTCACCGGAGTGTTCAAAATTCTGGACAGCAACTTTCCCCTAACTTCAGGTCCGATTTACACTATTTAAAATTCATTATCTCAAAATACTTTCTATACAAAAGTTATAGCCTTACATCTTAGAAATCCACAGAATCAAACGGTTTGCAACTTCGTGAAGAAACGATGGAGATATGCCCAAAATACCGCAGGCTGTCCAGTTGTGACGGAAATGACAAAGTTGGCAAATTTCAATGTTGTTTCCACTCCCGCTCATCCGTAAGGTTTCGACCGATGATTTCCAGGTCTGTACCTTTGCGTTAGACTTGTCGAATCATTCATCACATACGTACATGAACATATATGTAAATCCATATGTTGAAATCATCCCAAAATATATATGTGATACATATATTAGTCATCTTTGTGTTAAGACCAAAATATACCAAATCCATAAAGTTAATATATATATATATATATATATATACACACACATAAGTATATATAAACATTTGAGATCAACCCAAAAATATGTATATATTAATTAATGATGTTTAAAAGGCTTAAAGAAGTATTTTTGGACACTCAAAATATCAAGAGTAAGATTCGCAGACCCAAACGGTCGACGCAAACGGTCGACCGTCGCGTTAAACATCAAAACGGACCACGACTGTCAGCAAAACGGTCGACCTCCGGTGACTAACGGTCGACCGTCGCCTGCCCAGCCGAGAACCACCATCGCCATCCAGTCAACAACGGTCGACCGCCGGTCAACCGCGGTCGACCGTCACGGTGATCCGTCAAATCCGACCTGATGAAGATCAAGGTCGACCTCGCGCCAAATAGTCGACCGTTCCGAGCCCCGTAGCTTAATTAAATGATATTTTTATCTGATTTCACCCAAATAAAATAAAGTATATTTATCCATTCATATTGGTTACAAATTGTTCATATCATATGACTCATATCATCACACATATTGTAGCATATCATATCATATGCATGCGTAAGAGATCATGCGTAATTGCGTCTCTTATAGCGTGATGTGCGGGACTTACTAGTCTGACATCACCCGTTCCGGGCTTAGTGTACGTACATGGTATTCAGGCTTCGAGTACCACCCCTATCTTTCTAGTCTCCTTTGTGAGACTAAGGCCGCGTGAGTTCGTCGTACCAAATGGGCGAATCTCATAGCGCAAGGGTGTCCTTGCTCGTTAGAAACATACAACATGAAATCATCATCAAGTAAAATCATCATGACTATGTTTGACATCAATTACGCATCATGTAATCATCATCAAGAACAATCAAATTGATTAAATTAAATGTTCCATCATGTAATTATCATTAAATATTTATCATCATGATTCATCAAATTGTCTATATGATATAATGTGCCATATTATGAATATTATTATACATTTTATGGATATATATATATGTATATGTATATGTCTGTGAATCATTCTACAATTCTAGCGTGGTAGCACTCAGCGGTTTCGCTGAGCGTGTAGTTTGTATTTTTCATTGACTACACGTAGGTAACAAGAAGACAATGATGAACCATTCCCGGAGGGCATTGAGTCAGAGGAGATGCAAGGATGGCAGGAAAATGTTTGATCATCAGATTTTAAAATGTGTCATGATTTGATTATTATTGTACTTCCGCATTACTCTGAAAATATTTTTAAATGGGTCGCGATCCAGAGTCTGTAAATTTGATATTTATAAGTAATTGTCATTTTCAAATGTCAAGCGAAATTTTTATTTAACTCTCGTTTCACCTTAATTCGTGTAATTTCGGGTTATACGGATTGGGGTGTTACATTTTGGTATCAGAGCAAAACGATTTTTGGATCATTGAGTCAATATTTTCAAAGTCCTGCATCTGCATCCTTCATGACATTTCTGCCCCGGTAAGGTAATCAACAAGTAAGTTACTATGGCATAACACACATGCTTAACTCATTGAAAATTTGTTTCCTTTGAGTTGCTAGTATCCTCATAGACTCGGTTACAATAATGTTTAGATTACCTCGAAATGTTTTTCGACGATCACAGTCGACATCAGAAGATCAAGAAAGGGACTGTAAACCCGATAAGCGCGACATATATGTATGTCATAGTACGCAAATGGCTAAGTGAACGATGTGAATCAACTTCTATCAAGCCGAAGAATACGTCAAAGAAAGAACGTTCTCAAATAGGAAGTGAATAAATTCCCCATGAGTGAACCTATTGTTTTCTAAGAACAAGAATAGAACCTCACAAACCAGATCGAATACAGCATATGTATCGAATCTGAAATGCATTATAGGGGTGAATCTACATACAAACCTTAAGATAATTGACTCGTTCGTATACCATATTGACGTGAAAAGTCGCAACAAGATGACAGTACAAAACAAGAGCTGAAGTAGTCACACCAACAATGAAAGACTAGAAGATAAAGAAAAGGATTAATATTTACATGGTACATTTTGATGTTGGAAATAAATACTCTTCTGAAATGCACTGGTCATGCAGCTTAGAATGATATTTATGACTAACGCATAATGTACATGGATAATATTATATTACAGATGCAACTCTAAGTCTAATCTTCCAGAATTTGCGAACTCTTCATAACTGGAACCAGGATCTGGGAAAGCCTTAGCAAACTCCAGCTTGTCCAAAAGCTCATCAACAAAGAAAGAAGAAATGAACAGTTTCCTTTGATTCAAATCCATGAAGCTCTGTCTCACCGCATCATCTAGAAACCTGATTAGGTTATTGAAATAACCGTCATTGTTCAAAAGACCAATGGGTTTACTATGTAACCCTTCGGATGCCCATGAGATCAAAGTGAATAAACCTTCCATAGTGTCAATCCCTCCAGGAAGTACAATGAAGGCTTCCACAATATGATTCATCTCGAAATACTTATAGTAACTGCTGGAGACGGTGTACTCCGCACCATATGTTGGTCCATAGACCCCTCGTGTTGCTATATACCCAGGTATGAAACCTCTGACTCTACCACCATTATTATAGACTATTGAAGCTACAGCTCCTTGAAGGCCAACGTTGCCTCCTCCGTAGGTAAGCCTGATTTTTCACCTTACCAACTCCCGTCCTAGATCAACCGCTGTAGCCATGAACCTTGGATTGCTACCAAGAGCATGACTACCAAGTAGGCCAACGAATCTTATGGTATTAGGAAGAGCTCGAGAAGTTCCTTCCATAATGTGAGAATGTGGGACGCTCTTGCCACAATTTGATATATATAGACTCTGAAACTGGACCATTGATGGGAAAATAATTATCACCAGCCTAAAAACATACAGGAAAGTGGATTTGCTCCAGACAAGAATGTACTCGCCGATACTACAGTCTGCTGACGACATGACATATTGAGACTCATGAATAGTTAGGCTCATTGCCCTGAAATACATTCAAATCCGAGACGAAAAGTCAAAATGGCTATTTACCTAAGACCATGACCCCTTGAGTAACTTTGATAGAGTGAAACATTAAAGGATGAAAACCTACTGTTTGCCAAATAATTCGCAAACGCTATATTTGTATCATGTGACCTATATCCTTGAAATACTAAGGCTTGTTGTGTTAATTACACGCTTAAAGATTGAATTCCATATTTTTTTATATATATTAATTCATTGAGAACTTGTTTTAACTCATAATTCTCCATCAAATCAAAAAAAAATGTTTAATGATACTGAACTTCAAAAAAATCACGCATGTGTCCGTAGAATCTCAAATATATTAGAATATGACTATGTATATAACTTATCATGTTTTTGATAATAAGTAATTTAACTATTGTGTTACGAATATTAGTGATATGACGAATACACTAATACTAGTTTTCTACCCCGTGCTTCGCACGGGCTCGTGTTATATGCATGTTGTTTGCGTTTTTAAATGTATATTTGATGGAAAAAATAGATGAATACCAAGGCGCAATGTGTTGTTTGAATAGTAATAATCATTTTTATAAGTATGTTAGTTGTCATTTTTTAAAGAACTTCATATTTAAGATATTCAATAGTGATGTTGTACTTTAATTTTTTTAAAAATAATTTTATTAAAAAATTTAAAAGAGTGTAAGATCCAGTAGAAGCCCATAAGAAGGGAAAAGAAAAAGCAAGAGAGATAGAACCGAAGTCACTTTGAATTAAAAGAGAAAAAAATGAAAAGAAAAAAATCCAGCATGATAACCAAACTCCAAACTCAACAAAAAAGTAATGATCAAAGCAAAAACTGTCATTCAATAGCCAAACAAACCAAAAAAACATCCTTACCAATGTTCAAACTTATTAAACTCAAGTGTAGTTCCAACAAAGGGCAACCTCGTCAAAATTTGAGTACAGATTTTGGTACCAAGGTGGTAGAAAACAGCAGTTGTATATACATCCTCCAACTTCATCACCAATAATTTAGCCAAACCTAAGGCTCTTCGAACCAAACAAAAAAAGAATTAAACTACAAATAGAAGTTGCACAACCAAACAGAATTAAACTTTTATAGGTAGACCTTGTCAGCAAAATACCAAGCTTTTTTTGTCACCTGTTCAATATGTCATTATATATAGTAAACCAAAAAAAGTTGGATTCCATGAAGATTGCCAAATGATATTTGACAGCTAGCTAAACCCCAACACTAATAAAGATCTGTATTCATAGTTTGTAAAACCATATGATTGGGTTTGAAAAAGAGTAAATGAGAAAATGACTAATTTTTCAAGAAAATGTCATTGATATTGAATTGCCAAGACATTATACATACTTTTACAACACAAACATTTCAACCTTTAGTTGGGTTTAGAGTAATAATGTTTCTCAACAAAACTAACTTCAATATCATACATGTAATATATGAGAGTAAATTCATTTAAAAGCTAGAATTCACTTTTGAAAATGAAAAAACACACGTAATTACCACTAATCAAGTGTATCTTCTTCTTTTTCTTTGATTAGCACTTTGGTAAATGTAATTAACAGAGAATCTCATGCAGACCAAATTTTTTTAAGGCAACTGATTTTGAATTATAATTTTTCTATTATGAACTTGAGGCTCTAGAGTTTTGGAGCATTTTTTTGGAATATCAAATATAGGTTAATAAATTTGCAGAGGGGAAGGTGTTTCATCGTTCGGTCAGTATAGCATAGACTCTTCTACCAAATCAATTATTCAATCGATAAGCGAATTAAATTCACCAACCTTAATTCTTTGTATACCCAATATGCTCCCGACCCCCTAATGGAACAACCCAGCTGTGCAAAAAAAAAAGGGAGTGAAAATAATGAATATGTTGTTGAAGGCATGTGCATTATTTTCCAATAGAACATTAAAATTTAGCGTTGCAAAAAATAATTTGACTTTGCCTTCTTATGAGAAGAGTGGTCACCTGAGTAATACGGAGGACTCGTTAGTATCTTGTTCTTTGAGTAAAAAGAGAGGAGAAGTGGTTGAAACTAAGAAGTAAGAATGATGATAACTTTCAACTCCTAATGATACTACATAACAGCAATGTACAGTTTTGCAAGCAGAATAACATTTTAGCTACACATAGAAATAACAGCCTATGAACAAAAAAAGCTATTGAGATAAAATCTTTACAAATTTGTCTAGATAGATTGTAAAATGGGAGAGAATAAGGTAACAAAGATATTGAAAAATTGGGAAAATAATGGAAAATGTAAATTTTGTGATGATAGATTGTACCTTCCAAATTCTCATCTTTTGTACAATATGGCATGATTTTTAATGTCATTAATTTGCGGTTCCATCCTATACTTTTGAAGGTAAACAACATGGGCAAGAGTTAAGTATCAGTAGTGTTAAAACATTCCAGCTGCATAAATTAATTAATAGCAAAAAGTAGTAAGATGATATATCAATTAAATATATGAGATATGAAGTGCAAGAATCCAATTTTTAGGAGGCTCTGCGCCTCTGCCATGATTTATCCTAGGTCAGACTGATGACTTGGGTGAGTTGGGTCCATCCTGACATGCAATTGCTCTCTCATTACCTCAAGAAGTATACTCGGTGTTAGGTTCAGCCTAGTTAAGAAGTAGAAAAGAAAGGAAAAGAATTTAATCAGAATAGAGAAATAGACTACAATGTATGAGACAAAGGATCAAATCATTGATTCAAAGTTTAAGGATTCTATGGCAATACACACATTTCATAGTTACCATATCTAGAAAGAAAAAAATGAAATGGAACTGAATTATGAAATTGAAATGAAAAAAATGCACAAAGAAGGAAAAAGATGCATGAAAAATACCCACAATTTTTCCCTCTGCTTTTTCCAGTAGCACCCATCAATTCATAGTTACACACATTTTAAGGATTCTTTGGCAATATGAAATTGAAATGAAAAAATGCAAAAAGAAAGAAAAAGATGCATGAAAAATACCTTTGATTTTTCCCTCTGCTTTTTACAGTAGTACCCATCAATTTGCAACAACTCACAGCCCGATTCAGCTTTACATTCCTATATTGCAGATGTAGGTTACACGGGTTTGAAGACCAAATATTAGGGTTTAAGATCGAAGTAAAGTAATAACTAAAATTCACCTGAAGTATTCGATGCTTCAACATACCAAAGTAGATATGTGATCAGAAGGGATTAAAATGAAAGTTTAATATCTAGGTAATAAGTGGTGTATTAAATGGATTAAAACAAATGAGCACATTTACCTCTTCCTTTTATCGTGTCAAACACCTTTGAGAGGTGAAAATAGACACTCGTAATCTCAGAGTATCAATATGAAATTGAAATGAAAAAAAAATGCAAAAAGAAAGAAAGAAAAGGATCCATGAAAAAATACCCAGAAAATTACTCATGGGTGACGCGAGTTTTGTTGAAATAACTCTCAGGTCCCTCTATTTTCAAAAAGGCAGCAAAGGTCCTTACATTTTGTTGTAATAACTAGAAGGGGACATTTCATCCAATATTTCATCTATAAACGTTAATAAATGTATTTTTTCCTATTCTTTTCTAAATGTTTTAAGGTAATAAATCTTAGGTCGCTCCTTTTTTTATTTCTTTGTTTTTCTTTCATTTTATTACTATTTTTTAAAGTGTTATTTTAAAATTTCTCCTATAAAATCGTATAAAAATTCAAAATTGTTTATATTATATTAAAACAAATGAAATAAAAAAATTCTAAAAAAAGAAAAAACAAGGTAATGGCAAAATAGGAAAAACGGTATGGAAAAATAGGAAAAAAATACATTTATTAACACTCACGAATGATGTATTGGATGAAATGTCCCCTCTCAGTCATTACAACAAAATGTAAGGACCTCTGCTGCCTTTTTGAAAATAGAGGGACCTGAGAGTTATTTCAACAAAATTCGCGTCACCTGCGAGTAATTTTCTGAAAAATACCTGTAACTTTTTCCTCTTCTTTTTGTAGTAGCACCCATCAATTCGCAACACCTTGTCCCCCGACTGAGCCCTTCATTCATGTATTGTAGCAGTAGGTTACATGTCTTTGAAAACCAAACCATTAACGGTTTAAGATCAATGCAAAGGAATAACTTAAAACGCACCTGAGGTATTTCGTGTTTTAGCATACCAAAGTAGATATGTGCTTAGAAGGGGAATTTATCCCTTTAGTTCAGCTCTTGGAAATAGCCTAAGATAATACTCTTGAAAAAACTATCAAAACAAAAAGACAAAATGGTTAGGGATTCTTAAATTTATAAGCCTAAAAGTGTTTTCTATACATATCTAAGGGATTCTTTAAAAGTGAATTCTATATACATTGTCATCATCTTAATTAATAGTAATGACATTAAGCATAAGTGAAAGCACCATTAACAAAGCACGCACAAGTAACCAAATTTGAAAAAATTGTAAACTTGTAGGTGATGCTAAGCTTCACTAAAGAGTTCATAGACATGTTTATAGCTACAGAAACATTTTGTAATGTATAGAGTGTAAAAGAGCATTAAGTTGATTAAAACTACTCTAGCTGCATAAGAGAAGTTTTTACTTCTAAACAATTGGGCGCTCAAAGCGCATTAGATCGTATATAATGAATATTATATCAGTTGAACTTTTAAGATAAAAATAAGGTCATGCAAAGAAAATATTTAGTACTTCTAACTTTAAAATAAAATCAAACAAAATTAAGGTTGTAATTAAAGAGGAGGTAGGGGAAAAATTCTACAACCTTATTGTTAGTATTATTCTGAGAACAGAAGTGATAGATTTTACAGTAAAAATTTTGAGACTATCTCACATGAAGTTTTTGTGTAGCCACTTAGAGGGTCAACACGTTGAACTTAAATACAAGCCAAATGGATAAGGGTAATCTAAAAAATAATGGCAATTACCAAACGTGAATAGCTATGAATTACGATGTGATGACTTTAAAAAAAATTAAACAACCACAATGCATCTAAGTATCTTATTCAAAAGCTGTCACGCCACCCTCGCCTCAAAGAAAATTTGTGGGTGACAAACTGGGTTAAACTCGAATGTTTGTTCTAAGAAGAAACTTATCGCAGAGATTAATATTTAACTCAACTATCAAGCCTGAGAAAGCCGGTTCTGCATTAGAACAATAGAAAACACAACACTTGCAGCCCCAATCCAACCACCAATAGAAACTCCAACATGTGAGGATGCCAAGGCAGCACATACCGAATTAACAAATATAACGTGCCGAGCCTTTTGAAGTTTACACACAAACTTGACGATTATATAGTTTTTATGAGCATCCCTGTTGGAATCGTCATTCCTCCTAGAGAGACCACCACAACCACTATTCAACGAAGATATCGCTGACCTTCTTCATCTACCTGCTCCGTAGATAAATTTCAAAGATGTGAGGCTAAAGATCTCAAACATTTTTTTGCTCCAATTTTTCTATATGCTATCATCGAGCTTCTGCTAGCAATAACTAAAGTTAAAGGCATGGTCTTTATTAGGTTTTGATGGTCTTTATTAGGTTTTGATCTATGATTACCTGGCTGGGTTGATCTTGGTCTGCAGTTTCCCCATCATTTCTTAATTCTGTAGTCTTTAAATCCTTTTCCTCATTGTCCAATTGCCTTTGTTGTGCATTCTCAACTACTGCGTAGGTATGATCCTAGCTTTATCTCTTTGAATCTGCAATTTAGTATGAGTATCCACTGTTAGTTCCAAATTGTGTTGGCATTATTTTTTGACAAACGAATAGATTTACCTAGAATTATTTTTGATGGTTTATTTAGACTTAGAGTCCTAGCATGTGAAGGAAGAGAAAGAGGAAAGAGCTTGAAGAGAGAATTCTAATCCTACTTGAATTCTAATCCTACATGGTTTACTATTCTTGTGGAGGAAGGCATGGTTGAGAATCCTAAGCACACTCCAACATGGCTATTCTATTCTATTAATATCTTCACCCTCCCTTAGGGTTTTGTGCGTGAAAAACTACTAAAAACCAGAAGCAAATTCGATCAAAAGAAAAAACAAGGTGCAGATTTTGAGACTGTAAATTCTCTGGACAGCCCGCACAGATTTGATCATCGCCGGAGATCCGACCGTTGGATTTTTCTGAAATTTTCAAAGATTGTTCCCAACACATAGGGCTTCAACGTGTTCAAATTTCACATCAATCGGAGTTACGGATCTTCTGTTATCGAAGTTACAATCTGTACACTGTTGCTGATTTTTTGCAGAAAACACTGCCCTGGTTTTCTCGATGGTTGGAGTACCAAATCTTGTCTGATCGTGCTGAAATTTTAGGAGGAGTCTAAGGACTCGTGGAGCTTCAATCTGAACGGTGGAGATCGAATTTCAACGGTTCAATCTCGTGTTAAGAGCTTCTGAACAGCCTGCATATTTTTGTAGATCAAGAAGAATCTTTATTTGAAGGTGTATTGGAATCTACGTCCTTGAAGAAGATCTTTGAGAAGGTGTAACAAGCCGTGGAGATATACGCAAACCGAGTTTGTCGTCAAGCCATTCGTAAGTAGACAAATCAATACATTAGAAGGTTCTGTTGTGATTGATTGTGTAATTCTTACGGTGATTTAGTGGAAGGGCTATTACACGGACGTGGGCCTTGCAGACGTAGGAGAATTTGCTCCGAACTGCGTGAACAATTCTGGTGTCTTGCTTGCTGTTTTTTTTCTTCATATTTTACGTGTGTGCTTGTGACAGAGAACTGTTATAGCACACTGTCCGTCATCTGTTACTGGACAGTGCTACAGCGTCTTCTCTGCAGCATAGTGGATTGATTTGTTTGCATATCTCTTAATTGGTGATTTCCGCTGCGCCCCCACGAACTTACAATTGGTATCAGAGCTTGGCAAGCTTAAGTTATTAGCTTGATTGATCTATCACCATGGGAGATATTCAAGAAGGTGCTATTGTCTTTAGACCTCCACTATTATGCGGCCATGATTATACTTTTTGGAAGTGTCGAATGAGAGCTTTTCTTAAGTCTCTTGGTGGACAGGTTTGGAGAAGCATAGAGGTTGGATGGTCAGCTCCGACTATGACCGATGCAGATGAAGAACTAATTCAGAAACCTTATGAAAGATTTAGCAAGAAAGAAAAGGATGCCGCAGAATCGAATGATCAGGCTTTGAATGCAATCTTCGGAGCGGTTGACAGAAATCAGTTCCGTCTTATCTCAAATTGCACAGAGGCCAAGAGAGCTTGGGACATTTTGCTTATTACTCATGAAGGCACTACAACAGTCAAGATAGCCAAACTTCAGATCGTGATGTCTAAAATTGAAAACCTTAAGATGGAAGATACTGAGTCTATCACAAACTTTCATGGGCGAGTTAGAGAGTTGGCAAATGAGGCTGAAAGGCTTGGTGAACCAATTACAGAACACAGGCTGGTGTTGAAAGTTCTACGTTCTCTTCCAGAAAAATACTCCATGGATGTCAAAGCTATTAGACAAACACAATCTCTAAATACTATGTCTCTTGACGAGCTGATGGGGAACTTAGAAACCATAGAGTTGGAGATGCATGAAGATCTACGACGTAAAAAGCAACATGTCATCCTCGTTGAAAAAGAGAAGCAGTGTGTTAAAGAAAGTGTTGACGGTGACTTTGATAGTGACGTAGATCCAAGGGAGATGCTTATAATTGTTGAAGAAAAATTTCAAGAGTCTCTACGGGTCAACAAGAAAAAATGTTTGGAAAATGATAGCCTCAAACGTGAACTTGCTGAATCAAAACGCGATGTGGAACAACTCATCAAAGAGTTACAGAGATACAAAGGTAAAGTTACAGCAGAGAATGACACAGAGGATGATACAGAAGATAACATAGAGGTTGACACAGCAGAAGAGCTAGCTATTCTCCAAAGGAAGTGGGTAGAACTTGTTCAAGCCAAGCAGAAAACTGTCCTGGAGAATCATCAGCTTGTNGTCTCTACGGGTCAACAAGAAAAAATGTTTGGAAAATGATAGCCTCAAACGTGAACTTGCTGAATCAAAACGCGATGTGGAACAACTCATCAAAGAGTTACAGAGATACAAAGGTAAAGTTACAGCAGAGAATGACACAGAGGATGATACAGAAGATAACATAGAGGTTGACACAGCAGAAGAGCTAGCTATTCTCCAAAGGAAGTGGGTAGAACTTGTTCAAGCCAAGCAGAAAACTGTCCTGGAGAATCATCAGCTTGTCGCCGAGCGCAATAGACTAAAGGAGAGTATTTCAGAACTAGAAAAGAAGATTGAAGACTTAGAAGGGCAACAATCAGATCTCAAGTATGAATTAAATCAACTCAAAAACTTTCACAAGTGGATGAGAAGTGCTGGAGCAAAAGCTATTGAGGAACAAGTGAATGTTTCAAAATTTTATGGAGACAAGACGGGTCTCGGATTTTCAGGTTCTGAAAGCAATAAGACTCCACTTGACTTGTTTGTTGATCGAAGAAAGGAAATTGCTCAAAAAGTTCCACAACGAAGGAAAACAGAAGCTGCTACATCTGCTGGAACATCTTCTGCAAAATCTGCTGAAGCATCTCATGAAGCTTCTGCCGGAACAATTTATGCAGCACCCTATGCAAAAAGGCAAAGAGTTGTGACACAATCTAGTATGAGAAGACACAAGGATCATTATGCTAAACCTGAAAGGTATTCTTATACAAATGTCTATGCTAATTATGTTTGTTTTTGCTGTGGAAAAAGGGGACACATTCAGAGGAAATGCAAGATTTTTAAAGAGCAAAGACACAGAAAAAAGAATGTGACAACAAGGATGATTTGGGTACCTAAGAATCAGTACAAAACAGGTGATAATCCTTGTGTGAAAGATGTTTCTTCTGATCATTGCCATGTTAGTAGTGCAAGCTTGCATCAAGAAGAAAAGAAAATAGATCGTTGTGCTCTAAATCATCTCATAAGTGTGATGAAGTGGCACGTCCTAGTCATGAGAGTGAGAAGTTTATGACTATGAAAAAACGGGCATTGGGCATGTGTAAAAGAGCATTTGATGGGAATCGGTTTGGTATACTCAGATCCCGCTTGGGTCTGTGCACACCCATCTCTACCTGATTTAGACGATGCTCTAAGAGGTGTTTCATCTCCAGCGTGAAATACCTTAGAGCATAAATGTTTTTTCTGGTTGTACACATGTCTATTTCTTCTTGCAGACTATTACTTTTTTAGATGGATCGTCCGAGGGGGAGTCGCTCAAGTGTGGCACAGGTTGATGTGAAAAAGTCTAGGTCTATTTTTATGTTCCTTATTGTAATGCTCAAGCTCGCTTGAATGTTACTCTTCTCTTTTTGCCCCAATATTCTTAATAAAACCTTTGCCATTTTTTATGCAAAAAAGGGGGAGAAGAGGTTCAAAACAGCTGAGATTCGTTTTTGTCAAAAAATTGCCAAAGGGGGAGATTGTTAGTTCCAAATTGTGTTGGCATTATTTTTTGACAAACGAATAGATTTACCTAGAATTATTTTTGATGGTTTATTTAGACTTAGAGTCCTAGCATGTGAAGGAAGAGAAAGAGGAAAGAGCTTGAAGAGAGAATTCTAATCCTACTTGAATTCTAATCCTACATGGTTTACTATTCTTGAGGAAGAAGGCATAGTTGAGAATCCTAAGCACACTCCAACATGGCTATTCTATTCTATTAATATCTTCACCCTCCCTTAGGGTTTTGTGCGTGAAAAACTACTAAAAACCAGAAGCAAATTCGATCAAAAGAAAAAACAAGGTGCAGATTTTGAGACTGTAAATTCTCTGGACAGCCCGCACGGATTTGATCATCGCCGGAGATCCGACCGTTGGATTTTGCTGAAATTTTCAAAGAGTGTTCCCAACACATAGGGCTTCAACGTGTTCAAATTTCACATCAATCGGAGTTACGGATCTTCTGTTATCGAAGTTACAATCTATACACTGTTGCTGATTTTTTGCAGAAAACACTGCCCTGGTTTTCTCGATGGTTGGAGTACCAAATCTTGTCTGATCGTGCTGAAATTTTAGGAGGAGTCTAAGGACTCGTGGAGCTTCAATCTGAACGGTGGAGATCGAATTCCAACGGTTCAATCTCGTGTTATGAGCTTCTGAACAGCCTGCATATTTTTGTAGATCAAGAAGAATCTTTATTTGAAGGTGTATTGGAATCTACGTCCTTGAAGAAGATCTTTCAGAAGGTGTAACAAGCCGTGGAGATAGACGCAAACCGAGTTTGTCGTCAAGTCATTCGTAAGTAGACAAATCAATACATTAGAAGGTTCTGTTGTGATTGATTGTATAATTCTTACGGTGATTTAGTGGAAAGGCTATTACACGGACGTGGGCCTTGCAGACGTAGGAGAATTTGCTCCGAACTGCGTGAACAATTCTGGTGTCTTGCTTGCTGTTTTTTTTCTTCATATTTTACGTGTGTGCTTGTGACAGAGAAGTGTTATAGCACACTGTCCGTCATCTGTTACTAGACAGTGCTGCAGCGTCTTCTCTGCAGCATAGTGGATTGATTTGTTTGCATAGCTCTTAATTGGTGATTTCCGCTGCGCCCCCACGAACTTACATCCACATCTAAATGGAACAAAGATGCAGAAATAGAAACAGTAGACTGATACAAATCAAGATGAATTGAGGAAAGGTACCCTTGATCTAGAGCCTCAAACTTGTTTCTTGGTCCCTCAATGATTAAGTTAATCAATATGGTAAGGTCATATTTGTTAGCGTTCCTATTTTACAATAAATTTGGGTTACCGCCAAACCATCATATTTTTTAAGCCCTAGCACTCGTGAAGTAAGGCAATCAAAAGTAAGCAATAAACACATTCACCTGCATGTAGTAACTATGATATAGTATGAGATCCCCGGCCATTCAAGGAACCTCGCTATATCCATGTAGAAAAATGGCAGCAAGCATTTATTTCCTACAATAATGATAGTTTTTATTTTATTTACAAAATGAAAAGAAATTATGTGAAAACTACACAAAACGACTTAGGTGCAGCATAAAAGCACATAAAAAACATTATTGGGACATTTGATGAAAGTTCTCAATGTTACCAGCCAAAAAGGTAACTGCAACATATTAAAAAAATACAACTCAGTGTAATAGTTTTACTTAAATAAGAGCATGAAAAGTTATTATATACTTATAACATCTGATCTAGGTATGACAGTAAAGTTATTGTCTGATCCAGAGATTCTTACATACCGATAAATGCTTCTGCTGCTTCTTGTCTCCCATGAACTTCTAAAAACCTTGTAACAACAACCTAACACAAAAACAACATACACAAAATATATATTAAAAAAACTAATCTAGCATAAGGAGGAAAGACATTCAAGATACTCTCTTCTCTTTGTCTTCGCAAATACTTCAATTTTTTTGATCATCTTATCTACCTCATCAGCAGGCAATGTGCTAGCGCATGTTATAGTAATGTCTTGTTCTTTCCACTCCTTGTAAAAAAAAGTGACAAAAACTGAGTGTTATATCATGTGCTTAAGTTTTAACTTATTCAATAACCAATAAGCGTTTTTAAAAAAAAACTAATAAGCATGAAATTGATGATGGTTATATATCTTTAATACTTTGCCAAAGACGTGAGTGTTTACCTCCATTTGCTGGCTGCTGCTACCCTTGTGTAATTAAACCAAAAAAGATGTTCTGAATATTAAAAGTGAGTGAAAAAGCTGCCAAATACTACATATGTGCTCCTAAAATAGCACGAAAAACCAATTCCTAATACAAATTCTTCCAAGACTATGCTCCTATTAAACTCAAGACCAGAATCAGGGGACCAAGCAGCTTATATAAAAAAATCATTGAAACCTACTATCAATTGAAACATCTCCTATCATAGTGAAGAGGAGGAAACTTGCTTTTAATGCAATCATTCGATGCCACCTCCCTGGTTCATCGACTTGGAAATCTTTGTTATAAGGGTGAAATCCGCAACATCCAGAATGGTTGCCAATCTGAGTAATCGTAATAGAATTTTAGCAACAGAAGAAGATCTGGGGCTCTTTTCAATTTAAATAGCTTCATCAACATTAAAATCAAATGCAAACTCAATAATATCAACACTCTCAATTTCATAGCTTCAAGAGTGTGATTCTAATTTCTTGAAGGAAGTAAATCTTTTATAACAAACTTATCCGGAGTCCCTTTTTTGAAAATGTTTATGCTTTCTAATTTAAATAAAAGCGTCGAAGAATAAAATAATAAACTTAAGAAAGAACCTGGAACTTAGATATGTGAAACCATATGCAGCCCCCTCCTTGTCTTCTTATCTGTTGCATGTATCCACAAATAATTCACACTCAAAAATCTGATTTGTACAATAAATCTAAGTTTATCATATTCATCAAACCCTGTAAAGTTCATGAATTAGACTTGATGTCATTCACACTCAAAAATCGTATTTGTATAATAAATCTAAGTTTATGAGATTCATCAAACCCTGGTTCATGAATTAGACTTGTTTAGAAGGAATCACTCCGTATTCTCGAAAGACTGATTCAAATGCTTGAAAAGTACCACAGGGAACATCCAAGGTGGAGCACCAAAAAGGAATACTGGCGTGTATAGTAAGACGATGAGGATTTGGTAGGAAGACGACGCTCCACTCGGCTTACTTTTAAAATGCCATGCAATAAGCCATATGGAAACATCCCCATCGGAAAAATCTTCTTAAATGAATTAGACAAAGAAACATTTTCGTTTTAAAAATAGACCTTGTTAATTATAAAATTAGCAAAACGATAATTTGAAAAGTGAGACGTTTTGACCAATATCTACACTAATGGTAGACCACTAACAGGAGGTAAATTCAAGCATATGATTTCAATTTCAGATTCTGTATTCCCCTTTTTGTTGATGAAAAAACACCATTATTTGGTGTTCCCCTTAGTGGCCATTTAGGAGAGAATTGATACTTTTTATATAGTCAAACTGACAATGAGGAGGTAAATTCATGCATTTGATTTCAATTTCAGATTTTGTATTCCCCTTTATGTTGATGAAAAAATACCATTATCTGGTGACCCCCTTAGTGGCGATTTAGCATAGATGTTAAATATATTAAATATATTTAATATTATTGTATTATGATTTGTTTCCATACTTGTATAGCTTTCCTAGAATACCTCTCCTACCATAACTAGGATTGAGATGTTGTATATATATACATGTACTCCTCACATAATTAATCAATGAAAATACAATTCTTCATGGTATCAGAGCCACACCAAAAACCCTAAAATTCTCTTCCCTTGTTTCGGCCTCCTCCTCCTTCTGCCGAACAGCAGCGCCGCCGCACCTCCTCCCTCTTCCCTCGGCCGACTGCTCCTCCTCCACCATGACGGACAGTGATATCACATCTCAATCCTCTAGCCCAAAACCTCCCCATCTTGCTTTCTCCGTCTCAAATGTCAAACTTCATGTTCCAATTCAACTCAGTTTTTCTCAACCAAACTATAAAAAGTGGAGCCGCTTGTTCCTCCTTCTTGCACAGCGGTTCAATCTCCATGGCTATCTCAATGGCTCTATTGCTCCCATCTCCGACGACGACGACGAATGGTTCCAACTTGATTCTATTCTCTAGGGATGGATTCTCTCCACCATCACAGATGAGGTGTCTGATCTTATTCTCTCTTCTGTCTCTACTGCATCTGCCCTCTGGAAGATGATTCATGATTTGTTTCACGACAATAAGCACGCTCGAGCCATGCAACTCGAGCATCAATTTCGCACCACCGTCAAAGGATCTACCCCTATGGCTGCATGATGTCAAGAGCTGAGGAATATTGCAGATTGGTTAGATGACGTCGATGCCCCTGTGTCTGAGCACCAACTAATACTCCAGATGCTGCGCGGCCTGCCCGACGATCTACAAGCCCAAACGTCGTTTCTCCAATTTCAGGATCCTTTGCCGAGTTTTCTTCAAGTGCGGTCGGCTCTTCTCCTTCTCGACCGACAGAGGACTCCACTGGGCGGAACCAGCAGCACGGCACTGCTGGAAGGTCGGGACGCCGGCAGCTTCAGCGGCAACCAGCACGGCGGCGGTGGCAGCCGCGGCCCTCCTCACGGCGGCAGTGGAGATCGGATTTTTGGCGTCAATTATGGCGATGGCTCCTCCTCTGAACAGCGTGGAGGCTATGGACGTGGACAAGGGCGTGGCAACGGCAATCGGGGTCGCGGTCGAGGGCGCTCAAACGGCGGTTCGAGACAACGACCACCTACGGACGTCCAAAATTCCTGGAACTCACCCTACCCAAACCCTACCCCCGGGGTGCTAGGCCCCCGGCCCAACCCCGCCCCCTACCCGTTACCCTATCTAGCCCATGNCCCCCCCTCCTACCCCCCACACCAACAGCCCTAGCCCACAGCTTTAACACCATGTCACTCCGAGAACCCACTTGGCTCATGGATACCGGTGCCACACACCACATCGCCTCAAACCCATGTACTCTTTCTCATGTCTCTTCTCAAGCTTTATTTTCACCACATTATATCACTGTTGGTAATGGATCTAAAGTTCGCACTACGGCAGTTGGCACTCACACCCTCCCCACCACCCCTCCCCTTTCTTTAAATAATGTCTTAGTTTCCCCTCATATCACCCACAATCTTATCTCTGTTTGCAAACTCACTCATGATAACAACTGCACTCTTGAATTTGATGCTCATGGTTTTTCTGTGAAGGATCGTCAGACGGGGACCGTGATGCATCGGTCCAATAATGTGCGTCCCCTCTACCCTGTAGGCCAACCAGAACCAGCCCAAGCGCACGTCTCATCCGTAGATCATCAAACCTGGCATCGTCGTCTCGGCCATCCAAGTCCTGCAGTCCTTCGTGGAGTCTCTCATAATTGTTCTTTATTTAAAAATTATCAACAAACTCTTTGCATGCATGTCAGTTGGGAAAGCATGTGCGCCTCCCATTTTACTCTTCCAGTCGAGTTTCTTATTTTCCGTTTCAACTTTTACATACAAACTTATGGCAATCTCCTGTGCCAAGCATTACTGGTTTTAAATTTTATATGTTGTTGGATGATTCACTACTACAAAACATAGAATACACATCAGATAAATTTGACCTTTCCCAGCGAAATCCAACCGCTATGTATGTGGCCGGTGGGAAAGGTTTTATGTTTACACAGCGGATGAATATCCGCTGTGTAATGGTAGTGAAAAATCGTGCATGATTACACAGCGGATAAATATCCGCTGTGTAATGAGACCTTAAAAATGATATGCTTTATAATAGCGGATATTTATCCGCTGTGTAAAGTTAATTTTTTTTCAAAAAAAAATACTGGAATATTATTTTAAAATATAAATTTCAATAGTTTTGTTTCAAGCATCCAATTTATGTATCAATGAGTACATCAAAAGATGAATTGCTAGGAATAAACTTTACAAATATTCAACATTCATCATTTAATGATTAAAATCAAGGAAAAATGAAACAACAATGTGAAACATTGGAGATGAAGAGAAGAACAACTAGACTATTAAAGATAAGAAATCATTCCCATCACGTGTGAAGACTTTGTCAGGTTTCTCGGCCATTATGAACATAAAATTTGATGGACTGATGCTTGAGAGCTCATCTTTGCACCTTTCTTCCAGCCCGGCTTGATGTTTATGATTAAGATATCTTCTACCCGACATTATTTTTCTGACAATATCGTTATGGAAGTAAGAATCAGTAGGTGGAGCTCATCAAATTGGTATCAAGTGCATACACTTCTAGCATAAATACCATTTTCAATTATGAAACAAAATTAATTTTCTTTATGCAGATCACTAATGCATTACAGAAACAAAAACAAACTGATTATAATCCAAATTTGTTTGGTCCAAGGTTGTTAATGTAAAATTCTATGACCAAACCTATCTAAAAGTATGTTTGGGATGCTGGGTTGTATGAACTAGTGCAAATTCAACTGATTTAATTTATTTATTCAATAACTTTTAGGTAGTGTTTGGCAACTAGCATTTCATTTCAATTCATGCATTTCAAATCCAAAATTTGAAATGCTGAATTTCAAATGACAAGGGGAGGTGCATGGATTTTAAATTAAGCTTGGTTTTGAATGTAAAGAATTTGATTCAAATCCAAATTCAAAATGCTTAAGTTTCCCAAACATGGAATTTAAGCCAAATCCGGATTTGAAATCCAAATCCATGTTCCCAAACATACCATTAGGAATTTTCCCAAATTCCCCAGTTGTTTAATGCAGTGCTATAGAGTAAAGTAAAAGACAAATTTGGTGATTTTATGGCTGGTACGGTGTTCTTCTTGGCCTAACCCTTGTTTTTCTCCCCCATAACAATATCCAAGCAATTCACAAACACAATTGCAGTAATAGTCCACAAGTACACAGCAAGAACAGCAAGAGTGAAAAACACAAACAACAACAAATTTGAGGGTTTTCACCACACAAAATGAGAATCAATATGTAGAGAAACACTCTTGAAAGTCACCCAAGATATACACCAGAAAGAGGAATAAACACCAATAACCTGCGCTGGATTGGTTTACTCACTCGCGTTGTCAACAGTGCTGCGAATTCTAATATCAGCGAATAATCAGGATTCTTTGTTTGGAATGATATACAAAATTTAGAATCTAAATAGGCTTAGCAGATCGCTCATAATACCTCAAAATTGGCCTTCAATTCGGAAAAAAACAGATGAATTCGGACCTTCGAAGCATGAAGATGAATAGTGATTGCGTAGGATTTCAATCTGCAATTGACCTTGATTCAGCCCCAAATCTTCTGCAGAAATCTCATATTATGAAAATGCTTCTGATTTCGCACTAAAAGAACAAAAAATTAGCCAAAATGATCCACAAATTCAATTGGAATCTCAATTTGAAGGGGGCGCACAAACTTTTCTTCCAGCGTCGCACACCTAGAGAGAGAAAACCATTCATGAGAGCTCAGCAGAGATGGTGTCGATTATCAAAGATGGGGGAGATGGCGTCGATTACAGAAGATTGGGAGGGGGAAGATGGCGTTGATTACTGGAGATTGGGGAGAGAGGGCATCGGTTACTGGAGATGGCGGAGAGATGGGGTCGGCTCTGCTTCTGAACGTATTTAATTTGAGACCTCTTCACCGATTTGCATCAGAAGAGGTAGCGGCCCTTTTTTTATCCGGTGTTGAATGTATATCGAACTACTCGTAATTAGAGTGGTGATTTTTAAACCGACTGTATTTTTTCTCTGAAGAATAGACAGTGGTTCTAATTTATCCGCTGTCTACTGAGCGCCGTTAAATAGTCATTTTGTAGTAGTGATTTTTCTCATTATCTGTGGGTGTTTCCTTTTAGACATAAAAGTAATGCTTTTACTCACTTAAATTCTTTTGTGGCATATGTGAAAAATCATTTTAACACAACATTCAAAGCTGTTCAAAGTGACAACGGAACTGAATACAGAAACTCCCCTCTTAAAAATATTTTTAACTCTTTAGGCATTATTTTCCGCTTCTCTTGCCCTCACACTAGTCAACAAAACGGACGTGCCGAACGAACCATTCGCACAATTAATAACACCGTCCGCTCACTCCTCTTCCAAGCCCAACTTCCCCCTGAATTCTAGGTCGAAGCCCTGTACATGGCTGCCCATCTTTTCAACATCCTACCCACCACCACGTTAAACAATCGCACTCCTCACTCTGTTCTCTACAACTCACCCCCACACTACTCCCACCTTCGCGTGTTTGGATGTCTCTGTTACCCCAACATCTCACCCACCACTCCTCATAAACTTGCACCACGCTCTACCCGCTGCATCTTCCTTGGCTATCCCTCGAACCAACGTGGTTTTAGTGTCTTGATCTTGAAACAAATAAAATCATTGTCTCCCGCCACGTTGTCTTTGACGAACACACCTTTCCATATGCTAAC